ATAAAGGAGGAGAGCCTGTGGCCTAGTGGCTAATACATCTGCCTAATATGTAATACAGCCCTGGTTAGAATCCCAGTAAGGGAATGGCTAGCTGATGAGAGCTAAATAGCTTGAAGTAGATCTGTACTAGTCTCCCTTTATTTATTTATCAGCACAAATGCTACATATATATATATACACACACAAATGCAATACATACATACATACATACATACATACATACATACATACATACATACATACATACGGTTTCATGGCAGGATGGAAGCTGTTCCGAGTCAAGCTGCCTTTTTGCAATTGACCGATGGATGGATTTTTGTCAATGCCAACAAAACATGAATGGTTTTTTTTGTTCAAGTGGTGTTCCAGATATTTTGGGATTGCAGGGGGTTTCGTTTTTTGTTATAAAACTTACTCAGCCACTCCACTGCAGGGTCTGCCCTGCCCTCCTGGCCAGAAACGCCTCCTGAGGTGGCTCCTCTTCCTCCCGTCTCCCTCCCCAGGCACCTGCCGATGATGGCCGCCCTCCTGCATGGCCGGATCCACCTCAACTTCCAGGAATTCCGCCAGCAGAAGCACCTGGCTTTCTTCCTGCACGTGCTGGGAATTCTAGAGCTCCTACAGCCGCACGTTTTCCAGAACGAGCACCAGGGGGCGCTGTGGGACTGTCTCCTTTCCTTCATTCAGTTGCTTCTGGTAGGGGAGGGGCTGCGGCTTTGGTTGAAGGGGGGGGAATGTGTCCTGCAGACAGACAGACAGGCTCACACACACGCCAGGATAGCAAAGAGTTCGTCCCCAGGAGTCGGCTTCAGATAAGGACGTCACCAAGAAGGTTGCGTCGTCTCCCACAGGGTTGGGTGATAGCTCAGAGCAGGTCCAGTGGCAGAATATCTGGTTGCCATTCTAGAACGACATTTGGAAGAGATGCTCCGGTGCTCAAGGTCGAACTGTGGGGGTGTCCTTGGTGGTCTCTGAGCCGGGTGGTTTTCTTGCAGACGTTTCATGACCCAGCTAGGGGACATCATCAGTGCTAGAAGGGAGTGGGTTTGTGGATGGAGAAGGAGAAGAGGAAGAGTGAGGAAGAGGAAGAAGAAAAGGATAGGAGGAGAAGGGGAAAAGGAGGAGGAGGAGGACTGTAGGATCCTTAATGATCTCTGAACTGGGTGGTTTTCTTGCAGATGTTTCATGACCCAACTAGGGAACATCATCAGTGCTAGAAAGGAGGGGAGAATATGGAGGGGAGTAGAACGATTTTGGGGTCTCTTGTGCTTTCTGAGCTTGGTGGTTTTCTTGCAGGCGTTTCATGACCCAACTAGGGAACATCATCGGGGCTAAAAGGGAGAGGGGTTGTGGAATGGAAGAGGGGAGGAGGAGGAGGAGGAGGAGGAGGAGAATGACTGTGGGGTCCTGAGTGCTCTCTGAGCTGGGTGGTTTTCTTGCAGGCGTTTCATGGCCCTACTAAGCAACGCCATCGTAGAGCATAGAAACCACATGAACTCAGCTGAGAGAGCACCCTAGCGCTTCCCAGAAGGACCCCTGGCCTGGCCTCCCACAGTTCTTCCAACCTCTTAGGCACCCATCATAGAAGCTGGGAATCCTGGTTACACCTGAGCAGAACTTGGGGACAGCAGCTCTCTTTGCAGAAACGGGTTTCAATCTTAACCCATTCTGCAGGCGACTAAAATCCCCCACGACTCACAAGTGGTCCGGGCCGAACCCAGGTTGTCTGTCTGTGTCCCTCCTAAGAAGATCCTAGACGTTGTGTTTTCCCCGGTGTCAGGCCTGCAGCCCTCTTTCCTTTAGGATCTCACGCCTGCCACACTTTCTATTATCCTACTAGGCATTTTTCTATGGTGGGAAAACGGGATTGTACGGAGTTAGATGCTGTGTAGCCATAACAACATTCTTACTAGGAAACCAAGGTCATCCTTTGTCTTTGCGCCTCTGCACCTGACCGGAACTGGATGGGTGGAACT